AACTGGCCTGCCTGAGACTTAACCTCTTAGAGGCTCGAGAGAGAATGAGCATGGTTTATCAGAAGCACTTCTTCAGACAAAAGTTATTTAGTAGTTCAGACCTGCCTGGTGCGGGGCACTTCAGAGCTTTCGCAGCACCAATTAAGTTTCTTTAAAGGATTATTAAAGTGCTGAATTTTTATATCTAAACATAGAAAGTTAAAATAATAAACAGGCCAGAGTTTGTCTTGGAGGAAGTATTGATTTGTACTAGAAAGGAAACTTCGGAGGCCCCATATGACTGAGCAGAGGCCCAGCCTGGCCCGGGCTGACCGCGGAGAGACTTCTGGCCAAGAGCGCTGGTGCTGAGACGTGGTGCTTGAGATCCAGGAATAAAAGCTTGTTTGGGCATTTCAGACAGCCAGACACATTCCAGGGCAGGAGGTGATTCTCCCCCTTGAGGTCCAAACTCCTGCTGGTCACCCATTCATTTTCCTAATGCCCCTGGCCTGCCAAGTAAGTGCCACAGGCATCTCTCAGGGCCCAGGGTCAGCGGCACTCGTTCTGATGGGAAACTCAGGGCAAAATGTGCCTGTTCTTAGCCCATGGGAACACCCTGTGGCTGGCATCGGTGGGCCATCTAGCCTTCCCATGTCATCCAAGTACTTCTGAGGGAGACCACACCTGAACGGCTCTGGAAGGGAACTTTCCTGCCATGTGGGTGCTAAGTAAATATTAAAAGAAAGAATAGGTCTCTTTGCTTTTTCTTTTTACTAGTTTTTAACATTTTTATGAAAGTCATATCTGGCCAAGGTTAAAAGTTTCAATAATGCATAACAGCTTGCTTACATACAAAAAGCAGCAATTTTAATACTTTTGGGAAATGCACTGTTCCTAAAATATCTGGTATTTATTTTTCCTTGTGTATCGTGCCTCCCCCCCCCCCCCCCCCCCAATTTTATTGAATGGTAGAATTCAAGAGTCAAAGAGGCCTGAGAGGGCTGGGCCGTCTCCTAGAGCGGCAGCTCAGCGTGTAGCCCCTTGCCCGCCAGCATTGGCGTCCCCTGGAGTGTGTGAAATGCAGGTCCTGGGGCCCGCTCCAGACAGGGAATCAGAAGCTCTGCAAGTCGAGCCCTGAACCTGTATTGTAACCAGCCCTTCAGGTGATTCAGAGACGTGTGTGATTTTGAGAACCAATGTTTTAAACATAAAAGAACACAGGCCGTAGGATCAGATGGGGTTCAAATCGCAACCCACTTGCTCTCTAATCTTGTGCGTGTTACTTACCCCTTAGCCTCTGCATGCCCATCTCTAAAATGGGATTAGTAATAACTCTGGGGCTGTCGTGAGAATGAATATAAAATGCATGGTAAGCACTTAGCATTATGTGCCTCACACATAGTAAGCAGTCAGAAAATGGTTTATTATTGTTATTAACTATCTTCCCAGACCAGGTATTAATCTTTTTGAACAGCATTCTAGGCAGATGGCTATCCATTGAGGGGGGAGTTCAAAAGCTCTGGCCCATTCCAAGGAATGGTAGCTGTAGCTATGCACAATTATTTTATGTACTGAGAGAGTATTTGCCTTCTTGTATTTTCCATTCTTAGCTGGAGCTCTGTTCTCTGGAGCCATTGGAACAAGACTGTTCTACATGAAAGTTCAGATATTTTAAGGTAGTGACCTTGGCCATTCTGAACTTTCTGTTGTTCTATTCCCAAAGATTAACTTAAACATAAAACCAGTAAGTTGTTTGTTGTTGTTGTTATTGTTGTTTTTAGAAAAAGTGGGGGGAGGGCCCATCACTGAAACTCTGCTTGTTAGGGGGCCTTTGGCAACTTCTGGCCTGTAGAGGTGCCTCAGAGTTTAAGGCTGCAGCTTCCCCGGGTGGGCTGGGGCCGTGGAATGCACATGATGGCCGGGGGTTGCTGTCGGCGGGGGCTCGCCTTGCTGCTGGCAGGCATGAGCCAGTCATCCCTGGAGCTGCTGTGTGGCCCCGGGGGTCCCAGGACACACAGCCCTTGGAATCCAGCCTCTCTGTCTGCAGGACCCCAGCCCTTCCCTGCTCTGGTCTGGGCTCCTTGGCAAGCTGCCCGTGCTGTCGGGCATCCGGGTTCTCGCCCGTGTCCTCGCCCGTGTCACTAGCCCTCTGTTTCACCAGCAGCGTTTGTGGCATTTGCAGTCTGCTCTATACTGTTTTTATTTAATAGATGTCTAATTAGTAGTTGTGAGAAGTTGTACTGACCAAGCAGATAATACCTTTCCTAAATTATGCTGTGGTGTTGTGTAGGGCAGCAGGGGAATTGCTTTTTTAAAATGAGATTTCATAAAATAAACAAGTGTTCACATGACAGGAAATACTAAGTTGGCGATTAATTGATGCTGAGGAGCTGGCCTTGCATTTTCAAATGCTTTCCTTTATGTGATCATGGATCTAGTGAGGTTTCAGCAGGCCCACACCTCTGGTGATTTCCAGATAGCTAATTTGCACTTTGTTTTCTGCTCTGTAATGCTGAACAGGCGACCAGACAGTGCGCCTCTGTTAGAGCTGAAAGTCAGGGTTGCCAGGGATGAGGGAATGGCCCAAGGCTGCCTCTGCACAGCGGGGCTCGGAGCTGCGGGCCGTGCGTCCTGGTCGGGGACTGGGGAAGCTCCCGCTGCTTGTACCATTGTTTTCTCTGTGTTAGCAAAGGCTGGTAGTCATGGGAAGAGTATTTAGAAAACGGTTATTTTTTTCACCCCAGGAGTGAAGACTTGCGCCTGCTGACATATATGCACCCAGGGCTTGCTCAGATTGGATGATTTCATGTGTAAGCATGTGGTATGTGTCACTTGAGATGTGAAATAGGTAGGAAGTTTAAATACATCTGAGAACAGTTTAGAGGAGTCACTGAGAAAAGAGACCATTGTAAAATTCCTGACTTAGAGATGGTGCACAAGGTCCAGGCAGCAGCAGTAGGAGATGTTCCGTCTCGACAGCTACCCAGAATGTAGAGGACGAGTGGACTGCACTCAAGTGTCCTATTTCTGGGAGAAAAGACTGGTCTGGACCTCATCCTGGTGAGTAGATGCCAAGTAACTTCCAGAACAGCATGGAGACAAAGGGTGGGAAAAGCCCTGGGCTTAGACCACTCTACCTCTTACTTGCTGTTCAGCTTGAGCCAAGGACTTTGCCTTTCTGAACCTCGCTTTTCTCATTTGTATTCTCTTCATCTGGTAGCTCCTACCATTGGGGACTAAGGAACTGATGGCGTCGTCATTCTTTAATAAACGAATGCGTGGGTAGGATGGGTGCAGGAAAGCACCTTCCTTGGTCAGTGCACAGTGTAGTGACCACTCAGGAAATGCGAGCTCCGAGTGGAAGGGCAGCGGAAGGGCCCCCACTGCGCCAGGGTGCCCCCGGGGCCTCAGGTTTGGAAAGCGTCTGCGCTCCTCTCACCAAGTGCGGTGATGGCAGCTCCTTTGTAAGCTAGACACTGCACAATAGGGTGTCCTTGGGACCGATCCATTAACCCTCTTTTCTCTGGGGTGAAAGGCCTGTGTGCAATTAACAGCTTTTAAGTCAGGGAATTGATGACTTTTGCTTCAGTGTTTTTCAAAGTTCACCTGCCACTAATCTGGGGTCCCAGAAAACAGGCAGGCTGACTGCTTTTATCTCGCCTGATGGGTGCCTCTCCAGAGGCAGCAATTACAGTGATAACTGACGTTGAGAACTTGGCTCTTAGGAGCCTACTAATTGACTGCAGGGTCTGCTCCTCTCCCCTCGGCCTGCACTGCCTTCTGGTGTTTGGTGGGAGCGCAGGGCGCGTCCCCAGGGCCCCGTCGGCCAGCCAGAGCTGCTCAGAGCCGGTCTGCAGGAGGCACAGGGGTTGCTTTGGCCATGAGATCCCATCTTGGTTTTCACAGTGATTTGACTGTCCTTTAGACTGTGATCCAAAGGGGGCACCAGTGGACTTTGCTTCCCCGAGAGGGGCCGATAGCATTGGGGGACGTGCTTAGAATCTACTCCACTGCCGAGGGGTCGGGAGTGAAGGGTGGAGGACGTCACTGTCACTTGGTTCTTTATATTCGTCTATACTGTTTAATCGAGGTTTAGTGTTAGTTTTTCCTTTACCCAACACGGTATACCCAGTAAGTTCCAGAAAATCATAGAGTTAAATGTTTGTTTGTTTGTTTGTTTGTTTGTTTGTTTTTTAAAGGTATAAAAAAAACAAGAAGGGAGACATAGAAACTATCTCACTTAAGAATAGGAAAATTCATTCTAGGCATAAAAACAAAGGAAGGTATCATAAGAAAATGACTGGTCTTAAAAACCTAAAACTTTCTAATTATGTACTTCAAAAAATCATACAAAAGTAGAACACAGATAATGAAATGGGAAAAAGGTAAATGTTTATAACATTAATACAGGCAATTGTTTAATATCCTAAGACCTCTTTCAAGTACAAAATAAGAAGAACCACTCTTATAGGAAAATGATCAGGAACGTGAACAGGAAAGTCACAAAGTAAGAAGTACACACGGCCAAGAATCTGTTAAACTTACTAGCTTACATAATTTTGTATTATTTCTAACAGTGAAAACTTGGGAAAGCTGAACTGATTAACGGTAGGACTATTTCTAAAGTTATATCTTTTGATGTCTTTAAAATCATGTTCTTAAGCAAGAGTATTTAATGATTAGAATAAGTCAACAACATACTTTGTAAGTGCCGAGGGTAGGTTAAAACAGTATTAAACTTCATTTTGTAAAAAAAATAAAATTCAGGAGTATCTATCAAACTGTAGACAAAGTTACCTTTGGCTGATGTATTTACATTATTTTAATTTTTACAAATTAAGTATTTTAAAATTTTAAGTGAAAAATAATACGGGGGAAGTGGGTCGAATCATATAGGAAAATGCCCAGCCCCTTCGTGTCCCACGGAGGCTGCCGTGTGGCTCTCTCCTTTCCTTGACCCGGCCCTCCTCGTCCTCCGCCCTCCCCTGCCCGCTCCTGACACGCCCGCCCTTTCTCCTCAGGACTGAGCACTGAAGGCATCTACCGGGTCAGCGGGAACAAGTCGGAGATGGAGAGTCTACAGAGACAGTTTGATCAAGGTAAGACCACAGCCCGCTGAGCATCAGAGGCTGGAGCCAGCCAAAGTGACCGCGACAGCGGAACTACCAGTGGAGTCCCCTGGGGGAGCTGCAGCTGGGCTCTGGGGACACTGCTGCCACACACAGCCCCAAAGCAAGAGGTGCTGGCTCGGTGGCTGAGAAAGAGAAGGCACTCGGTCCCAGTTAGCATTGCTTCCATGGTCACGCTGCCACAGAGGAGAGGGGAACCGGCCCTGTCAGCAAACGGAAACGTCACCCTGCCAAGCCTGTGTCGGCCTGTCTCCACCTACAGACACTCTTCCGGGTCACCGCGGTCCATGCCTCATGCACCACTGAAGGACCTTGCTTCCCTGGGACTGGGCCACGCAGGAGTAATTACACGCATAGGGCATGAACGGTCGGGTTGAGAAGACAATCCTGTGTGGCCCCAGAAGTGCCCTCACGAAGTCCCTGCACAAAAGAAAGAGAACAAGGGGACATGCGATTAGCTAAGCCTTGGGACCCAGGCTTCCAAAGCTGAACTCCTTGTGAGTTAGACTTACTCTTGGCAGGGACTCCTGTCCCTAAGCTAGGGAAGCTCTGAGAGGCCACACCTATTTCACCCCAACCAGTGGCCAAACTCTACCTCTTAGAACTGAGCACACTATGGGACAAGAAGTCTCACCCACTAGTGCCAGAAGCAAATGAGCCAAAGCAATCAAAGTTCCCAGATATCACTGGCCAGAGAGGAAGGTAAGCTAAGGATCACAGTAGGATTTGACCCAACACAGAGCAGGGCCTGAAGAGCCCACGCCAGGCTCAGAAGCCAGGCAGCCCGTGCGGGCCTGTGTGACAGAGCGGCCAGCCAGTGCCTGGCCGGGAGCAGGCACCCTGCCCAAGCACCCGGGGCCAGAGCGCTTTGCAACACCACAGTCAGCCTCTGCTAGCCGTTGTGGGAGGAGGTGACACACAAGAGAAGGAAAACGCTTGTTAATCTTGAAGGATAGGAAGCATGAGGTCAAAATGAGGGTACAGCCATGCACTAGTGTGTGCACTAATACTGTAATATACAAGAATCTGTAACACAGCTTATACCCCCCAAATTGGAATATCTAATGACTATCAGTAGCTGATTTCTTACAAATCAAGAATGCAGTAAAGTTTGAAAAGAGAAATTAGAGACAGCAGTTGGTGTCGTAAGCTGGGAGGGGCCAGAGAGAAAAAGGAATGCGTCTGTGTGTCCTACCACCATGAGGGACAAGGGTGGGGGCAGCAGTCATAATTGTTGGAAATGTATTTGTACCCCACAGTGAAAAGTAAGCTGGCCTTTTGGGAACCCCCCCCCCATTCTCCTCTGGAGGGCGACGTGCCAGGAAAATAGAGCAACACATCCTCGCAGGCATGAGGAGCTCCCTGCATGGCCCGGAAGGGCTGATTTGGCTCCTCTACTCTCAGGATAACCTTGGAAGGAGGCACTGGCTGTCGGCCTCGGTCCGCGAACCTGAGAACCTTTCCTTAGCAGCACCCAGGGACGCTGCTGTCCAGACTGTGACAATCCCAAGTCCCTGGCCAGGCCAGCCGGCTCCAGGCAGCGTCCCAGGGTCCTCGGGGTTTCTCTGACTTCCCCCAGGCACTGAGTTTTCCTTTTGCTTCTTCCCAGGTTAGATCAGTCCTCCCTCACTCTCCCAACTTCCTTTCAGACCACAACCTGGACCTGGCAGAGAAAGACTTTACAGTCAACACTGTGGCTGGTGCCATGAAGAGCTTTTTCTCAGAGCTGCCGGACCCTCTGGTCCCGTACAGCATGCAGATTGACCTGGTGGAAGCGCACAGTGAGTGCTGGCCACGCAGCCCCCGGCCCGCGGGCCCCAGGCGCACCCCGCACCGTCCTCGCCGCACGGGTGGTTTGGGCGAGGTGAAAGGGAGGGGGAGGGGCGCGGCAGCAGGCTCGGGTCCTGCCCTCGGGGAGCGGGGCCCTCTGGCTCTCAGAGCGAGTATTTGAAGGATGTAAAGAAGGGGACCTAACAAGATGACACCAAAGGGACTTGCAAATGAGGCACCTGCCTTTGTAGACCAGAGGTGCTTTCTTGAGGATCCCCTCAAACTCCATGACTTAGGAGCCTGGTTTGGGTGTCAGACTGGTTGAATCCCTGCTCCTTTGCTTGTGCATCGTGTGATGTTCTCTGTCCCTTCCATTCCTCTGTCACTGTCCCTACTCCTGTTTACAAAGTGAGATTAGGAAGCGTCTAGAGGCGGGGCTGCAACAGACCTGGTGAGAGGTAGGTGTTACTGTCTTCCCCCCACCCCCACGCCCCTCTTCTCCCATCTCATACAAGGACGTTAACGTGGAGCCCGGGGCCAGGCAGCCCGCCTCTGCAGGGAAGCGGACGGCGCCAGCGGCCCCAACCGGACGGTCACTCGGGGGCTGCAGCAAGTCAGCACCTCTGGTTTTAAAGACCACCTCTGCGTGTTGTCCCGCCCTCCCAACGGCTGTTTCTGCCCTGCTCTGCGTCTCTCGGGAGGCATTGTCCATCCAGTTGGGAGCCTTCCCACTGGGCCACCTTTCCCAGCCTTTGTGTCGTGCTCAGAGCTTCCTGTGTGTGTGGCACTTCCTACCTTTTTTTAGCCGCAGGCGGCCTTCTCAGTCTGCACCTCTCGTGGATCAAACCCCCAGAAGTAGCCATTGCTCTGCAGCAGAAGGGAGTGTCTTTGCCAGTGACCGAGGAGGCGGGGGGGGGGCGAGAGGAAAGGGAGCCATGTTTCTCGGACCCGAGGACATCAGTCTCATCTTGTCACTGCCCTACTGAAAAGAGGGATTTCTAAGCAAGTACAGTTTAGTTACAAGCCTGATGGTGTGGGCAGAAATTTGTAGGCAGGACTTTAAGTCCTGGGTTACAGACTCTGGTGGCTTCAGGGAATAGAGGAGCTGACAGAAGCCACCCCTGCAGTCACCTCTCCATGGCCTGTGCCTCTCGTGGTGTTTGTTTCCACAGCCTGGTGCCACCTTCACATTTCACCCGCAGCCATGGCGGATTAACTTGTTCGCAGCTCCTGATCCTGCGGGAGCCCAGCAGGGACCGGGCAGAAACAAAAGGGAGCTGGGACTGTCACAGGCTCACCTGGCCTCCTTTCCCATCTGCCTTATCAGGACAGGAGTCAGGGCTCCTCCCGAGGAGTTAGGGGGCGGGGGCGGGTTCCGGCTTCTTCCCTCAGCTGCGGTCCTGAGGGAAGCCCTCCTAGCCGTCCCTTCCCCCGCAGACCCCGGCCGGCTGGAGGTGAAAGGCATCGGAAACCTCCACGGAGCCGGCTGTCTTTCTACCTGGGCTGGTCTCTGGGCGGAAGTTAGGGAGCGGGAGCGGGAGCTGGTACCCAGCTTGCTGGGAACTGGGGGATTCCTGTCAGCATTTGTCTTGAGCTGGCGCCATCTAGAGGCTTGTAAGAGAGTCCTGGCACCCAACAGAATCCTATTGTTTCTTTGAAGGAATTGCTGACATAGCATCTTTTTGTTTTTGGAGGGGGTGGGGGCAGAAGGGGAAGGTTTTATTGATAGGAAATCTGCTGGCCTTCCTACAGCAGCTTCCGTAACTTCCAGTGCTGAGGAATGGAGTTCCTTGCCATATTGCAGCCTGGAAAGGGGTGGAGGTTTTCTGCTTCCTGTTCCTGTTGTGTGTTTCCTGTGCCCCAAGCTAACCAGTCAGCTGGAGCTTCTGTGTCTTGAGCCTGGGGGGCGGGGAGGGGGGTCACGTACCTCGCTGACCCAGCACCTCTCACAGCCAGTGCAAGCTGAGTGAAGAGTGGGGCTGAGCATGTCCTGGGGTGGTTACTGAGCCAGGGACACCAACCAGGCAGTGCCAAGGTTCGTGTTCAGGGACATGAAACAAAGATTCTCAAGCTCCAAAGTAGCTGTTCCCAGCCTGGCTGGGTTTCCATGGCAACGTCAACTTGACCAGCTCTTTTCGCTTAATACCTAAGAACTGTTGTCTGTGTGTGTTCAGGGCTTGGAAATGGTTTCAGATCCCATCACAACAACTATCAAGCTCACTATCAAATTGTTTGTTAGCACTATAATTTCACAACATTGAACATGCTGAAAATGGTGACCACAAAGTAGAGATTTTTGTGTGTGTGTGATTACTTACCAGTTACCTTTCTACCACATTTGAGGTAATGTGCAGGAGATTCAGAAATGAATAACAGTGCCCTGGCCGGTGTGGCTCAGTGGATTGAGCTCTGGCCTATGAACCAAAAGGTCACCAGTTCGATTCCCAGTCAGGGCAATGCCTGGGTTGCAGGCCAGGTCCCTAGTTAGGGGCGTGTGAGAGGCAACTGCCAAAAGAAAGAAATGAATAACAGCATAGTGCTAGGGAGGGGCAATCTGGGGCTTGACCTTCGGTGCCAAGACCTTGCCCCTGTCCTCCCCGGATGCATATTTAAGCTGTCTGTCAGGCAGAGTGAAGCAAGCTGAGCAGAAAATGCAGTGGGGTGGGAGTAAGGTAGAGGGCTTCATGGAAGAGGTGGCAGGAGGCAGAGGAAAGAGCTTTGAGCTCGCCATTCCATCTTGTCCTTACGCCTCACCTCAGCCTCCCACTGTCCTTGCTCCACATCTACTCCTTCTCCTCCTCCCACAATACCCATGACCCCACCACCACCTCTCTGAAAGCCCTCTGGTCCACCCAGCGCCCCACACTGGCGTCTTTTATGCCAGAAGGGGCCCTGGAGCTGGCTCTTTCTCAGTGCAGAGGTTCTGAGCCAAAGGCTCTTTGACTCCAGGCTGTTTGTTATTCCCACCCTATAACTGCACGTAAGGTCCATGTGCTCATCTGAGTCTGTAGAGGTGGCCGGTAGCTTTCATCGTCGTGTCAAAGGGCTGCATGGCCCAGAATGGCTCAGGATTCCAGTTTACCATCTTGCCATCCCATTTCCAGATGCCATCGCTCAGGGCCTCAGACGCTAAATGACTGACTTGCACAGTCACCGCACAGACCAGCCTTGCTGCTCACCAGGCTGTTGGTCACGTGCTGCCTTGTGACATCGCCCATCCTGGGATTCTGCTTCCTCTTGTCTGCCCAGACAGCTGCTGAAGGGCATGGGGGCGTTTCTCGCCCCCTAGCACGGGCAGCCCTGCCTGGGTTTGGTGGGCTGGGGGGCCCCGAGCAGTCACTGCACGATTCTACCTCTAGGAGACAGACACCCGGAATCTTCCAGAGCAAGGTCTCAGCCTGGAGTCATTTCCCACCTGAAGCAGAGGTGGGGCTTGCACACGCTTGCCCAGTACCTCACCGAGGGGTGTGGCCCTGAGCTGGGTGCTGACTTCCACTGGCGGTGCGGAGTGCCAGGCGGTCGGAGGCCATCGGGGTGCTCTCCTGGGCGCTGAGCTGGGCTGCAGCAGATTCCAGCCTGGAGCCTGGGTGCCACAGATGGCAGCAGAGTGGCTCAGCCAGGGCAGGAATGGCATTTGAGATCAGGGTCCCTGGCACCAGTTTCTGTGACCTTGGACCACTATTTTTACTTCCTTGAACCTCGGTTTATCTTTATTCCATGAGGGCCGTGGTGAGCTGGGCTCTGAGGTCCCCAATGGCCTCTGGCTGTCCCCTCCTCTTCCTCCTGAGTTATTGTGGCCTCAGTTCTAAATTGCCCGGTCTCTGTCCAGACTTTGTCTTGGCCCAACTGGCCTGAAAATGCCTCTCCTGCAACGACTTACTGCCTCAGTTGACTGACACCTAATTTCAAAAGTATGGTGTGTGAGTGGAGAGGGCCCAAGCCCGGGAACCCCACAGAGGCCCGCTGAAGCAGGAGAGGGCACCGCAGCGTCACAGAAGGGGATCATCCGGAGCAGGCGTGCTGTCCCGGGTGCCAGGGCATGGGGCCCGTCCCACCTCCCCTCGCCAGCCTGGTGCCTGCCCCGCACTGCCTCCTGAGCAGGTTTCCTTCGCCAGCCTGTGGGACAGACCCAGCCCCACCTTCCCGCGGTGGTGGGGAGGGCTACACAAAAAGGGACTGAAATCCTCTGCCCACATTCCAGCGTATCCCAAGGGTCTCACGGGTGTTGGGACTGCCATGAAAAGGCTGCCGGTGCCTGGAGTAGTGCCCTCGTTGCTGGTGGGGCTTGCTTGCTTGAGGGAAGTGAACAAGGTCAGTCAGAAGGACATCAGCAAGATGGACCTTGATTTTCGTGTGGCAGACGCAGGGCCAGGCTTTGCACTTGGAGGCTTCCTGTTCCTGTCCTTGATGGCCTCCCTGCTCTCACCACACACTGGATGCTCCCCGGCACCGGTGGGCATCTGCGCCGCGCAGCTAGTGGGAGGAAGGGAGAGGGAGCCCGCGGAGGCAGCCATCGGTCCTATTCGGGCGCATGGCTGTGCCAGACCAGGGGCTGGCCTCCCTGGGAGCAGTCTGTGAACAGGCCCAGTAACCGCACCCTGCCCCCACCCCCCACCCCGAGGAAGAGCGAGAGGAAGCAGCCCGCCTCGTCGCTTCGCGGATAGGAAGGAGCAGGCATCCCAGGCAGACGGCGGCCTTGCCAGCCCCATTTCCTGCCTCCAGCCAGGAGGGCGGGCAAGGCTGGCGAGGCTGGCTCTTAGGTGAAGGTGCTGCCTGCCATTCGAGTGCCTAATTAGAACAAACACAGCTGTGTTTGTGGCACAACAGCACCAGGAGAGGCCTGTGCCACTGAGCTGAGCTCGCAGTGGGCCGCAGGCAGGGGTGGGGGGATGACAATTTTATTAAGTGAGACCCTGAGCCACGCATGTGCTTCTCGAGCTCTTTGGTACGCTCGCTCATCCTCCTAGAGCGGCTCACTTGTTTTAAAGTGAACTTTTTCTTGAAACTTGAAAGGGTTTTGAAACTCAAGGCCAGAGAGAAAATGTGCCCCTGAGATTGAACCCTTAAAATAAATCTTGGGCTTAAAGAAATGAAGCTGATAATGGCTCCACATAATTAGTTTCTGTATTGGGGTTTCTTTAGTCATTTTCTAACAGGCAACTGTTACCAAGACACATGCTTTATCAAGTCACTCTCTAGTCAAAGTGTGCCCAGTCTCGTGCTCACTGGCCTGCCAGCGAAGCTCCCCACAGCGCGTCCCGCCCACCCGCGCAGCCTGCGCTCTCACTGCTGTCCCCGAAGTCAGGCTCGCCTCCAGGCGCTTACTGCTTGGGCTCCTCATGTCTTGGGGGTCTTCACTGAGTGAGGGAGGCACTGTCATCAGCCCCTTGGACAGACAAGGAGATTGACACTCAGATGTCTCACTTCCCCGAGGTCACACAGCTGCTTGGTGTCGTTCGTACCTAGGGCCACGTGGGTCAGGTTTGGGCTCTGAGCTCCCTGCGCAGCCCTCTCTGCACCTCCCTGCCCTCCCAGCTGGCTGTTTTTGTTCCGTAGCTCAGGCCAGGCTCCTCAGGCACGTCCCCAGACTGTGGTCCTCTTGGCATGCCAGCTACTGTAGAGATTCCTAACTCGGAGGCCACAGGCTTCCAAAAGAACACATGGGTTTGGGGAGTCCGCAGACCTCCAGGTTCAGGCAGACTTGTCCACAGCCTGTTTTGGGGTGAGGGGGTCCATCACTTTTTTCCATCGCACAGGAGCCTGTGCCCCCAAACCAACTAGCAACCATGATATTTCTTAACGGACCCCTATCCACCCACCCCCACGACCCTCAGTTGTTGGGTAGCTGCCATTTTTCATGGGACAACCCTGCTGTGGGATTTCTAAGCCCTGGAGCCCTAGACATAACCTTCAGTTCCAAAGTGTAGCCAGCAGGATACCTTCCCACACTCAGAGAGGCCTGTCTTGGCCACCTGACTCCAGAAGGGCTCTGAACCCTCTTGCCTCGCTGGCTGCGGCCAGCTCTCCCAGCCAAGATGGCCCAGGCCCACTCGGGGAGGGGTAGCCTGGACCCCAGGGAGCACAGTGGTCCCCACTCAGGTCCTGCAACCTCGGCCTCAAATTCCTCATCTTTGAAATGGGGCAATACCAGCCCCGGCCTCATAGGCTTGTGAGGGCTAACTGAGGCGGGCCTGGCGTGGGTTGAGCGTTTCATTTGGGCAAGTTTGTTTCCACTGCTCTGGTGCATTAGGGTTCTGTGGTGAGCGCAGTGTGAGCGGTGGGGGAAGGGGGCATGTAGACTCTTTGGTGGACTACATGGGAATCTCCCACATGGGCTCCTCCAATGGGGAGATGTGTGAAGGGTCCCTGTGGTTCTCGGAAAAGGACAGAGCCCCGGTTCTGTCACAGTCTCCCTCCCTAGACAGTCTGTTGGCGTGGGTGGTGGTGGCGCTCACCCGTCTGGTCAGAAAGCAAGCAGGCTTTCTGCGTTGAGATGCCTGTCTCCAGGGGCAACCGGATGAGCAAAGAATGGTGTTCTTTATGGTGGAGTCTCTTTGGATCATCGAATCTTGGGTGGTGGGGGCCAGGAAGTTCCGGGCCCATAGTGTTCCCCTTGAGCGGGGCCCTGGGACCCAGAAGGAGGCCTGACCCCAGGCCCGCACCACTGCGAGGTGCGCCGCCAGGGCACCGGCTCCGGGGTGGGCCTTGTCCAACAGCCCTGGGCTACCCTCAGAGGAGGCCCAACAGAGCCCGCTGGTGTCAGCGGCAGCCTGGGACCTGGGTCTGCTTGGAGCCCCAGAACACCCCCAGCCGTGGCCATAGAAACCTTTGGTTTTCTCTTTCCTCAGAAATCAACGACCGGGAGCAGAAGCTGCATGCTCTCAAGGAGGTACTCAAGAAATTTCCAAAGGAAAACCATGAAGTGTTCAAATACGTCATCTCTCACCTGAACAAGTACGCCACAGGGCTTGCTGTTTGGTCTTCCCTCCTTTGGAAATCGCCAGTCAGGGCCAGTTAGCAGCAGAATGAGGCTGAGTGAGGCTCCGTCCTTAGCCTGGTGACGGGGGCCCACCCGGCCTACTGGGGTGCTGGTCCGCCTCGGTGGCACGCATGTGGCTCAGGTTCCCACCGTAGTTCTGTCTGAGAGAGGTCCATGCGGCCCCAAACATGCCGAAGTCCTCTCTCCAGTGTTCTTACATCTTTGGTATGTGACAGAACACCTCGCCAAGATGGGTGCACCGGGGAACAGGGAACCCCGGTCAAGTTAGTGCGGGAGCTGCGGGTAGGAAACCTGTAAACAGCATAGGTTTCAGAGTTACTCCCACGGAGCATGTCCGTGTTCCAGACAGACCTAGTTTTCATCTGGGCGAAGTGGTGGTCTGTGGAGCTCTGGCTTGAGACACACATCCCTGTCCCTGCACAGCCAGAGCATCGTCACCCACTTTGGCAGCCTGGGTGAGTCCCCGAGGCAGTGTGTTCAGCCTCAAGGCTTGGGGTGGGGGTTGGGGGGGCTCTCATGAGCCAGGGCCTCATGGCCGCTCCTCGGGGCCTTGCCGCGGGGGGCACTGGGGCAGAGGCAAGGCCCTGAGAGCTGTGCCTGGGGCCTTTCTGTTCTGGGCTGTGGGTGCGCAGGCAGCGAGGGCAGCCAGGGTGACAGTGACCGTGAGCGCACACATGAGACGGGGCAGGGCATAGGGTCTCAGCTAGGGCCCACTGCCCCACAGCGTGCTGACCATGAGTCTGGTGTCGCCTACAGAGTCAGCCACAACAACAAGGTGAATCTCATGACCAGTGAGAACCTCTCCATCTGCTTCTGGCCCACGCTGATGAGGCCCGACTTCAGCACCATGGATGCGCTCACGGCCACGCGGACCTATCAGACAATCATTGAGCTCTTCATCCAGCAGTGCCCGTTCTTCTTCTACAATCGGCCCATCAGTGAGCCTCCCGGGGCCACGCCCAGCTCCCCCTCCGCTGTGGCTTCCACCGTGCCCTTCCTCACCTCCACGCCCATCACCAGTCAGCCGTCACCCCCCCAGTCGCCTCCGCCCACCCCCCAGTCCCCAATGCAGCCACTGCTCCCCTCCCAGCTTCAAGCTGAGCACACGCTGTGAGTCAAGGCCTGGGGCAAAAGGAGGCTGTCTTCTCTTCAAAGAAAGTGGTGGCATTTGGCCTTGAACACAGCCAGGTCCACTGGGACAGGGGTGGGGAGGGTGTGCCCTCTCCCCTGTCACCTTACCAAGACCTCAGCGGTAGCACCAGCCAAACGCCCACCATAGGCTGGGCCGTCAGGCGCCCGGAGCCCGGCACTCAGACCTGGGGCTGGCTGCAGGCAGTGGCCGGGGGGCCCTGCCCTTTGACATGGACCCCTTTGAGGACTGAACTGGTCAGGCAGCGGCCCCAGGGACCCTCCACACGCTCGCTCGCTGCTCTCCAGACCGCCGGCCATGCACACTGGCCTCGGGGCGTTGGCCGCAGCTCGGGCAGAGCCTTTGGCAGCGGAAGGAGGAGGTTCTGAGATGCAGGCCACCCCAGGGCAGGCCTGGCAGCCACTGAGGAGAACACTTTCATCTGTCTCTTCCCACCTTCCCTACCTGGCACCCCCACTCCCAGTTGGTGGGTGCAGCCTGTCTAGCAACCTCCTTGGGAACATGTGGGCCAGGGCTCTGCCACCCCAAGGTACGGTGCTGAGGGCTCCTGCCCGGCGATCAGGACAGAGGGAGGTAGCTTTGTGCCTGGACCAAGTGAGAGCGCGCCTTCCCCTCCAGCGCTCACACGCCCTCCCCCCATAGGCTTCGGGGTGCATTCCCTTTGCAGCAGAGGAACACTGGAAGAAAAATGGAAAAACCCATCTAATAATTTTAAAAAAGAAAAAGGAAGAAACTGCCAGGAGAAAACTGCAGACCTCAAGATTCAGCCCTCCTCCCACCTCTCTGAGAGGCACCCAGGCGGCGCGCGGCCCTTCTCTTGTGACAGCAAAACAAGGAGGCCCAGGGCCTGCTGCCTGCGAGCCTGTTGGGGTCCCACTCACGTTCTCTCACCAGACCCGTCTTTCCCCCAAGAAGATGGTTTGAGTCCTTGTTGGGCAGAGCTGGGAGACTAGCAGGCAAGCCTCGAACTCGGTCTGCCTTCGAACACACTACAGTGCTATGGAAACACTACTTTGTGTGTGTATTTGTGTGTGTGTGCGTGGGGGGGGCGGGGTACACCTGTGAGGGAGGGCACAGCTGAGGGCGCTGGGGTGCGCTGGGGTCTGGACGAGTGTGTTTGGTGTTGAAGTAGAATCATTTCCATCCCGAGCCGCAGATGCCGCGCCAGCAGCACCGTCTGTGGGAAGCAGCCGAGCTGTGGTGGTCTGCTGCCCGCAGGGCACCCCGCACGCCCGCAGGGCCCGCCGGGACCGCAGGCACAAGGGGAGGTGCTGTGCCTGCCTGTCACACCGCACCACCCCCCTCCCCGGCCTTCCCCAGCCCATCCTGGGACGTGGCCTTCCCCTTCCCTCCGCTTCCTGGTCACTGGCCCCAGCCCGTGCCCCACCTCTGCCCCACAAACAGCTGCCTTGCCAAGGCTGCTGCGGACATGGCTGTCCCCCACTCCTGGGGCGGGGCCGCAGCCTCAGCAGTGGAGGAGCCTGGCACTAAGGCGCCCGGGGTGTGGGGGAGAGGGCCCCACGCACCACCCCATCCTCTGGGCCTCTTTGCACTTTAAGCAGCACCTGTGGTATGGCCGATGCCCTGGGTCACCTCAGCTGGGTGGCCTGACAAAGCTAAGAGGTGCCTCAGCATGATCTCCAGCCACGCCCTTTGCTCACTGACTTCTTCCTGTGGATAAGCTGGATACTTAACTGTTTTTAGTTCTTGTATGGCAAGATAAGGTGCTTGGAAAACTAAATTATCCCTGCAAGTTTTACCCCCTCTTTAGGAACACAAGTCAAAAACCAGAGCCACGGTACATGAATGCTGTGTCAGTGTTGGGTGAGGACCGTCTCTTCCGGGGGAGGCTGCTTTAGGGTGCGATAGGCTGAATGGCGGTGGTCGCGTTTAGTGATGGCCCAGGTAGGCAGACCCCGCCGGGCAAGTACGGAAATGGCTCCGTGGGATGAATTTCTCCCTTTTTCTAGGTTGTGCGCACTTACTCCCAATCAGCCCTTCAAGGGTACCATTAAAGGGAAATCGTGAGGGTGGCCTGCAGCCACTGTCCCTGGTGTGAACTAAGTAGCTTGGTCCCCTCCCATTTCCCAGTATACACTGCCACCTCCTTTGTGCTGTCCCCCCTCTCCTCCAGTCTGCCACCTGCAGCCTCGGCTCCGCACCAGGAGCTCTCAAGCCCCCACGCTCCTGCCTTCCCACGCCGCCACCCCATCCCTGAGACAGCACAGGCGCGCACGTGTTGGGGGCAGGGGCGGCAGCAGCTGTGCGGCTCGCCCCCGCCCCTGCCGAGAGCGCCTCCAGCCCGGCGGCACCCCCTGGCGGCCACCTGGGGCAGGCGCTGCAGGCCTCGCTGCCCCTGCCTCTGTCCAGCCGGGACTCTGAAGGTGTGCAGGGAGGACTGGTGGCTCTTGCCTCAGAACTGCAGTGGGCAGGAAGCGCCAGGGGTATCCTTTGCTTCTGTTTGCTCTGCTAACCTTCTAGCTTTTCTGCTTTTCCAGGCTGACTCGGGCTAGAGGACATTTCTTGGTGGTTCTGAGCTGGCGCTGCCCTAGCAGCAGTACTGGGCCCTGGGCTTCAGCTTCCAGGCGGAGTCTGCGTCCCAACCAAGTGGGTACTCAGACGGGACGCACCGGGAGGGCCAGGGTGCGTGTTGGGACACTGCCCTGAACAGATTGCATCCCCCAGCTCTCAGAACTGAGGGAAAGCTGGCAGGGATCCTCCACGGCCGAAAGGGATCAGCCAGGGTGTGAGACATGCTCCGTGTCCCTCCGCCAGCCAGCAGAGTAGTCACGTGCCCAGCACCTTCCCCCCCCCCCCCCCCCAGGCCAGCGTGCTTTTTAGTCCGCGGGCCCGCAGACCCCATTCAGGAATGGACAGCCCATGGTTGTCAGCAGGCTGATTCCGGGTGTGTGGCAGGGATGCGGCCGGAGCGAGGGAGGCGGCCCGCGGTTAGAAGCACAGCTTGTGGATCTGTCCTGAGTTCTTGGCTGTGTTGCATGCGCATCCGGTCTCAGCATTCTATCAAGTCGGTCTTCCCATCGCTTTGGAAGAGGGATGCTGCGTGAAGGATGCAGTGCTGTTTTTGGGTGCTCTGCGCCCCGCTGCCGCCTTGGTTTCCCAGCCTACAGGAAGCGTGCCTCTCTCTGGGAGATTCTCGCAGCGGAACGTGTGTCTGTGCTGGGTGGGCGGCCTGCCAGCCACAGGGCCCGGGAGAGTGCGCCGTCCCCTCTCCCTGCGCGTCAGCTCGGCGGGGGCAGGGGGTGGGGGGGCTTGAGGGAGACCGCTCTCTGGGCCGCAGGTGTTCCAGCCTGCGCCCTGAACCTTGAAAACCGGCTGCAGCATTTGTGATCTGAAGTCCTCTCCATCTGCACCCCACCCATCCTGTGAGAACACGCTACTTAGTGGCGGGGAGGGGTCTCCTAGAGAAAGCAGTAGACAGTGGCCAAGGAAGCACTGGCGCCACAGCCCTCATGTATGGTGGCCTGTCTCCTGGGGCTCCGCTTTCTGGGGACAGTCACAGCACTCTGCAGACAGTGGCCCTCCTATTGCTTGGCAGGTTCAAGCCACTTACTTTCTCTTAGGTGAAAGGTCAGGCTGAGTCGTGTATGCCAGAAACCTAAGTCACACCTGGGACTGTGCTGGGGGTGGCACCAGGAAGGGGCTGGTATCGGGAAAGGCCACTCATCTCCCAAGGTCCCGGGTGGGCCTCCCCCGGGCTGTGCCTGCGTCGCCATCTTAGACGGGAAGGACACGTCCCTCCTCTGGAAGCCAGCTTCCCGGCCTGCGGGCCCTCCCCCGAGACCAGGGGTGCCGCCCGCTCCCGCCCCGCAGCCCTCGCTCCAACGGCAGTGATGTTACACTCAATGTAGTCCCGACAGGGCACGTAAGTTATTGTTTGCATTAAAAAGAATCATGTTCCCTGTGTACATTTCCAAAAAAAAAAATGTCTCTGAATTGTATGGGAATAAAACTTGTTTGAAAATTTGGAATAGTGCTGCTGCCAGCTTATTTTTCTGGTACTTGTATTTTCACATGTTAAATGACCTTTATATATGTTGAACTAACAAATATTTTGAGTTTCCTGAGAAAAACAGAGACATTAATGGTATTGAAATGTGTTAGTAGTCTGGCCGTGTGCCCAAAACTCTGTTCGCAGCGAAGTGGAGAACTGTATGTAAAGAAAGTATAACAGTTATTTCTTTGTATTTTAGGGACTTTAACCAAGACATCCTCTAGTTGGTGTTAGGAATGTTTGCTTAATTTCCAGACTCTCTTTTTTTCTTTTCTTTTTTTCCCTCTTTTGGACACGTGGGTATTTTGAGGCTCCACCCTGACTAGTGCATGGTCAGCCGGCAAGTGAGGCTGAGGCATCTCTCTGACTGAGGTGTTTTTGTTTGGTTTTGTTTTTTAAAATCATGTATTTGCTACAAAGTATTGTACTTGTCTCAATGGGAATGGTGTAAAAAACTGAAAAGGCCTTATGTGATATGTATCATAGTTAATAAATCAGTCTTGTAAAAAACCAAACCTGAGAGAAGTGAAGGGGGCCCCTCCCGTCGGGGCCCTGCGCACACGCCTGCAGGCCGCCTGCGGCCCCGCGGGGACCCTGGCTCCCTCCCCGTCCCCGGAAGCAGCGTTCAAGGAGCATCGGGCAGGAGTAGCCAGTTCTCTGGCCACAGGGCAGGAGGGGGGCTGCTCCGGGGGTCCCTGCCTGCGTCCGGCACCTGCCCGCCCTCCTAGCAGAGTGGCCTGCTTTCCCAAAGCCTACCTGTCACCCCTGCGGTTTATTTCAGGCGATTACCCACATACCCCCATGGCGCAGGGACCCCGCAGGCCTAGGAGGCAGGGAAGGGCATCTAGCCGCTGTTGCCGCGCTCGCTCAGGACGGTGTGTCCCAAAGAAGCCTCCGTTGTCACCCAGGCTCAGTCTGTGTTGTCCCCACTCCCTCCTCACCCCCTCCTTCCTTCCAGGCTCCTCACATCCGCTTGCAGCCAGCACCCTGTCCCCACCGCCTCCATTCTGGCGTGGGCCCCTGGACTCGGACACCCCTGCCTTCTTGTCCCTTCCAGTCCACCTTCCTGCCCCACGTCTTTTTCAGAGGGAAACCTTACAAGATCCGTCTCCCCTCCTGTGCCCGTGGCTCGTTGATGACGACACTTCCACAGAACTCAGACCCGATACACGTCTCCAGGCGGCTGCTGCCAGTCGCTCCCACGGGTGCCCTCTGGGGACATGCCCCCCCGGGACCCCTCGCTCGGAACCCAGCCTCCTCTGGCGCTCCTCCGGTCAGACCCCGGCGTCAGGCAGATGGTCCTCCTCCTTCAATCGCATGTGGCCACATCCCCTTCCAGACCTGGCTGTGCGGTTCCGGGCCTGCAGCCCCTGCTGGCCACCCTCCCTCCAGCCTCGACTGCCCACTGCTCCGCGCCGCCCTTCAAAGTTTGTCTTCCCCTGGGAGTCTGTCCCTGGCCTCCCACACATGGATTCAATTTGTTCTTTTTTGAGAAGATCACCATAGTATACAGCTGGCACTCATTACGTGTGCTGACATAAACCTGTCTTTTCCTCTAGTTCTTGATGTTCAAGTCACGTGGGTTTGTATACTTTTACCTCTCAGCCACACACGTCAAGAATGCGAGGGGTGGAGGGTGGCGCCCGTGGCCCCCCCATGAGGTCTCCCAGGATGCCCAGCAAAGGGCCTTGAAGCTGGTAGGTCCCCAGTTTGTAGGTCAGTGCTCTCAACCTTAACCTTGACTGGAGCCTTCGTCTGCAAGCTGCCCTCTCCCACTAGACGCCAGCCCAGCCCTCCACTCCAGGCACCACCCTCCTGTCTGCCCTGGGGCCTCCAGTGCCGCGCCCACAGCCTTACTCCTGACGCCTTCCTCCGGACCTGCCTGTCCCCGATGAGCCAGAGACCTTGGAGGCCACCACCACTTTCCTCCTCATTTCTTGCCACCATCCTGATTTGATTCTCAGCTGAACACCTGCCCCAACCTCCTGGGCCTCCCCCTGGGGCCTCCCAGCCTGCAGTCTCCCCCAACCCCGCACCCCCCCCCCCCCCCCAGCCTTTTACTTCCCTGTGTCAGCCGGAGGGAGCTTTTCCAAACAGCACTGGCGGTGTCACCTCTCCCTGGTCACCTTCCAGGGCTCCCAGAGCCCTCAGAAGAAAGCCCAGATTCTTAGTAGGTCATGAGAGGCCGCCCCCCGCACCCCGCCCTGCTGGCTTCCCAGGTAGCCTTACATGATACCTTGCCTGGGGCTCCCCAGGGCCCCCCCCTTCCCCCCTTCCCCCCTCTCAAGGCCTTTTGCACCTGCTGTTCCCTGCCCACCCTCCTTGCTGACTCCCTCCTTAACCCTTAGATTTCAGCTCCACAGACTCAGAGAAGCACTGCTTGGCCTCAGACCAACATGGACTCCTTTGCTTTCAAAGAAATGTTCAAGAGCATTTTCTCACTTTGTTACTCATTCAGATGCTATCAGCCCACTTTACACAAGTTTCTGGAGCATTTCTCTGGGCCAGGCCCCTGGGGGCACAGCCAGGAGCTAGTATCTAGTGGAAAAGACTGAACAGCCAAAGAAGGAGTTAGGGAAGGTGTAGGCTGGTGGGGAAGACCTCTCAGGAGGGGGCGACGCAGCAGAACGGGGCCTGGGTGAGGTGAGGCACTCCACTCCCTTACAGAACCTAAGGGAACGCAAAACAACTCAGGGATCAAGACAATATTCCAGTGCAATTTTTTAAAAATCAAGGTTAAAAAGCCTATCAGAATTGTACATAAAAACAGAATCACCGACAGTGCAGAGCCATGTTGCAGCCTGAGGCAAAAAGAGAAATCGGTAAGACCGAGCCTGGAATCGGGAGGGGAGTGATGGTGGGTGGAACCAGAGCTTGGAGAGTGAATGTGGAGAAAGGAGGTAGGAGTTCGGGTATCGTGAAGGTCAAGGAGACAGATTTTGCCCAAGATTGCATCTGGCTGTGAGAGAGAGGAGATGGGATGGCTCCAGGGTTTTCATGTTAGTGTATCTGCTAGCCGTCTGTCTCCCCCGCTCCCTGTGAAGCCCACGGGGGCGGGAGCTGTGTTCCCCAGGCTACGGCCAGCACCCAGCTCCTTAAACGCTCAGAAACACCAGACCTGGGGCCTGAGGGTCCAGAATGCGGTGTTGCTCTACACGGCCACCAGGGGTCAGCAGAGAGCAGCCCTGCCCACCCTGGGGGAGGTGAAAAAGTGCTGGAAGCTGGGTTGGTGGAGTTTTAAGGGAGGGGGGCAGAAAAGCAAGATTAGAAGAAGCAGTGGGAACTGGGGAGGAAGCAGGCTCTTAGAAATGAGGTTGGAAGAGCCCCAGAAGCAGGCCGAGCAGCAAGGGGACGAGCTATTCCTGTCATTCCATCCAACTATCCACCATTCATTCATTCAGTGATTCAGTTACGGAAGGTCAGGGGCCAGGCCTTACCGCGCCTTATAGAGCCAGACAATAAGCTGAAAGTTTGTCCTGAGAGCACCGGAGGGTCATAGGCGTAGTTTGAGCAAGGGAGAGACTAGGGTCAGAGTTGCAGGAGCCGAAAGGAAGAAGAAAGTGGGATTCAAGAGACACAACCTTACACTGGCTGGTGTGGCTCAGAGGACTAAGTGCTGGCCTGCGAACCAAAGGGTCATCAGTTCAATTCCCAGTCAGGGCACATGCCTGGGTTGCAGGCTGGGTCCCCAGTTTGGGGCTCGCAAGAGGCAGCCACACATTGATGTTTCTCCCCCCCCCCCTTCATCTCCTCTCCCTAAAAATAAATAAAGCCTTTTGAAAAAGAGAGAGATACAGGCTCACGAGAACTCCTCCTCCCAGATGGGGACTGAAGATCTGTTGACATAAATGTTAGCCAGGCAAATAATATTAATAAAGCCTAACAGGTTTGGACATTTACGAAGTATCAGTCCTTGTTTTCATCCTACGTATGTATCAACTCAGTTTTTCACATGAAGTCTATGAGAGTCGGCATTATCATTATCCTCCTTTTCCAGATCAGGAAACGGAAGCACGGGAGGGCCAAGCGATTTGTCCAACATCACCAACTAGTAAGCAGGAGCCAGGATTTGAACCCTGGGCATCCCACCGCAAAGCCCAAGGCTCTCTCTGTGGCTGCCGCAGCAAGTGACACCACACTGCTAGCTCACGCCACCACCAACGGCGCTCTCACAGGCCTGGAGGCCGGACACCCAAAGTCAAGGGTGGGCAGGGCTGTGCTCCCTCCAAAGCCTCCAGGAGAGAATGTTCTCCGCCCCTTCCAGCTTCCGGTGGCTACAGGAGTCCGCGGCTTGGAGCTGTGTCTCCAATCTCTGCCTCCCTCTTCACGTGGCTGTTTCTGTCGCCTGGTGTGTTTCTCCTCTGTGTGTCCTCTTTCGTCTCCTATGAGAATACTTGTCGCTGGAGTTAGGACTCCCCAGGATAACCTAGGATGATCTCATCTCGAGATCCGTAATTTAATTACATCTGCTAAGGCCCTTTGTCCAGGTCACATTTCCAAGTTCCAGGCTTAGGATGTGGATTTATCTTTTGGGGGCAGGGGTCTACTACGCAACTCCCCGCAACTCTTCTCCATGGTACTATTATTAGATTGGCCACAAGGTCCGTTTGGGTTTTTTCCATAAAATAAGACATTTTTCATTTTCACCAATAACTTCATTGATTTGGAAATTTTGAGTGTGTCGGTTATCTCCTGCGCGGTATAACCCTGACTGTTGTCAATTAATGTCTCAATTTGATCGCTATCAACTCCAACTCGTCTTCCCGACCATGGAGCATCCATAGTGCAGCAAGAAATCTCCAGCACGAAACTTCACAAGCCACTTTTGACAAGTATGATCAGTCACAGCACCTTCCCCATACAGTGCCCAAATCTCTTTTTGTTTCAGCTGCAGAAACAGAAAAAGAGAAAAAATATTTATTTCTTGAAATAATAAAGCATAATATGCCAAAAAGCGTGCACTTTCCTCCACCTTCAATATTAAAATGGCTGTGCAAAAATTCACCAACTTTGATACGTGTTTTTAATGCACGCCGATATGACAGCTGTCAAAATGCAATCTAACACAATTGTTTCGAATGAAGTTAAAGACAACTAACTAAGCACTGTTAGAGTCATCTTACGGAAAAAACCAAATGGACTTTTTGGCCAACCCGGTATCATTATTACTCTCATTGGCATTATTCTTACCGCCTTGAAGGGCAGCTGGGGCGGCAGCGATGTGAGCGCCTCCGCAGCGGGGGAGCCCGCAGGCTGTAGGCAGAAGGCAGGCCGGCGAGGAGGGGTGCTCGCTAACTGCAGGGGGCGTCTCCTCACTGGCCCACCTTCCCAGCCAGTGCTCAACCCTCCTCCCTTCTCCAGGGGACTCCGCAGGGGCGTGGGGGACAGTCCTTTTCTCTCCAGACGGACAGCGGCCTTTGGGTTGGGAGAGGCAGTCAGCTAAGCGCCCTGAGCGTCCCTCTAGTCCCTCCTGCTGTGCCGGTCCCACGAGCCTCCCCGTCGCTGA